CCTTCGCCCCTCCCCCCACTCCTCCCCCTCCCCTGCCTTTCCCCCAAAGGTGGAGCCTACTGAGTTCACATATTAGAGCATAGGGATGCCTGGGATGTGGACTAATTTTTTTTTTTTTTTTAGACAAGAGCCTCACTATATTGCCCTCGGTATAGTGCCGTGGCATTGTAGTTATCATTGTTGTTTGGCTGGCTCAGGCCAGACTCGAACCCACCACCTTTGGTGTATGTGGCCGGTGCTGTAACAGCTGAGCTATGGGTTCCGAGCCTCATAAGAATGTTACATCTAAAATTTCCTGAGTTATATCTGTCAAGCATACAATGTGTGTCCAGAGTTTAACAGCAGTTTTCTGTGTACAGTACTAGGGATAACGGGAAGATTTTTTGACTTGCTTTTCTGTTATAAGTTTCTCATTATGTTCTCTGACTCCATTGTCATGGTGTAATTGTCAGAGTTTGTAATCAGTCAGATTAAACATTTGGTCCCTTCCATTAGTGAATTATGTTGGGTTGTGTTTGCTCTCCCTCCCGGCCTGTTACTCTTGTTTCAACTCCATATGGTTTCCCCACAGGTAAGTAGGAGGTAGCGTTCTGTGTTTTGTATGGTGGCCTCTGTTGCAGTTCTGCGTCTCTATGATTTGCTATTCACAGATTGTCAACAGTATATATCAGACCTTTTTGCTTATGTGCTTTTGTTTCATATGTAAATCTAGTAAAGTATGCATTGTAAAGGACATTGATTATGGTATAATGACGGTATCATGATTTTAGAGAATTGAAGTACACAAGTACAAGGGTTACCTGTTTACTCAGTATGGATCACTGTTGTTGTTACTCCTGGACACACACCATCCCTGAATTCAGCAGCTTTACTAGTATAATTGTTTCTTTTAGAGTTCTTCTGTTTATACTTATAAATACTATTTTTACTTGCTATATTCCTTGTAACTTCCAAGATGTGTTTTTCAGCCTAATAGCTGTTTTCCTGACAGTTTGAGTTTCCTCTACCTTCCTGAATGGATTTCTGGATTCACTAAGAAGGGTCAGTGGAGGGAGGAACAGTGCACTGTGAAATCTTTCGTCTGATGCTGTGGTAGGACCCTGAGACATATGACAAACTGCAGATACGAAGTTGAAATGGAAGCTGTTTTTAATGCTTATGAGTACATGCACTTACATGTGTTTATGTGCGTGTAAAATATGTCTAATCTAACTGATGGCTGCCATGTGTATTTTGGATGTTGTGTTTAATGCATACACATTGATTAATTCTTTTGAAAGGCAGAAAGCTTATTCTAATGATGAACTAATCACAGAATGAGAGTTAGAACTAGTTCAGAAATGAAATTGCTGCTTCCTCATAATATTTGGAACATGGAATATTTGGGATATGCCATAAAACTGATGGATTCCTTTGAATATGGTAGTGTTTTCTTTCTCACTCCCTACCCCCAACACTGTAATAAAATTAAATGAGTATGTTGTATTTAGGGGGAAAACAGAAGGAGTCTTCAAAATATTCCTAATAAATTATTTTCAAATTGTTTGACTTTTGTTATTTCAGTCATGGAAACTGCCCTGTCCTAATATTAAGAAGCCTAGGACGAAAAACAGATGCGGAGATCTTACAGTATTTGATGGATTTCTTGTATACAACTCATTCCTGGCTTTACTGTATGGATTCCAGGAATCTTAACTGTCTGGAATTCCAGCTTTCTTTTTAGCTCATAACATTCTGTCCATTATTAGCCCTAGTTTCCTTTTCTTTTTTGAAAATTATACCATTTTCTCAGTTTATTTTCTCAGCACACATTCCTTGGATTATTTCTCCTTCCTTTCTGTATTCCCCTATATGCCCCCTGTCTCCTCTGTATGAGACAAGAATTATCCCTGAGAAACAACTGATGAATCATAGTTTACATAGCCTTCAAAAGAGGATGTGTCAGAGATGGTATGTAGGAGTCATGGTGTTATCAGTAGAGTTATTGACACTGATAATTTCTTTCTTTATCTTCAGCTCTTGAGACTTTTACCCAAAGGAATAAAAGAAGTCAGATGGCAGCTGTGTCCTTAATAGCCATGCCCCAGGTGAGGTGAATTTCCTCTATCTCTGTACATATAGATGAATGAATATACACGTACATCTATATATAGGTATATGTATGCATGTACATATAAACATAAAACATAATGTATATATGCATGTGTAGATGTATAAATTACTCATTTAGGTTTAACTTGTATATATATAAAACACGTAACTGTATTGCTTACTTTTTAGAAATTTGTACACCTTTATGGCCGTAATTCATATCAAGACATAGATTAGTACCATAAAGTTCTCTTCATGCCCCCTCCCAAGCAGTCTACCACCCCAAATTTAACCACTATTCTAACTTCTGTCACCATAGATTAGCCTTGTTTGTTCTTGAACTTCATATAAATGGAATCCTTGTACTCTTTCGTATCTGCCTCCTTTTGCTCAGTATTACATCTGTGGACTTCACCCATTATAATTATAAAATGGAAAACTAATCATTGCTGAATGGTTTTCCATTATATAATCATACCATGTTTTATTCATTCTACTACAGATGAAATTTCGGTTGCTTCCTATTTTGGAGAACAGGGAATAAGAAGGCAGTGAACATTCCTGTCTTTTGGTGGACATAGGCACTCATTCTTTTGGGCTTGTCTGTAGCAGTGAAATGGCTAGATCATAGGGTGTACACTGATTGGTTTTAATAGATGTTGTCCAACATTTTTTCAAAAGGTTTTTTCCATTTTGTACTTAAATCAGTAGTGTGGAGTTGCTCCACATTCTTACCAACACTTGTCATTTGTTTGTAGTATCTCGTTAGGGTTTTAAATTTTTTCTCCTCCCTAGTAAGCAGTGGTAACACCATTCATGCTTATTGGCTATGTGAATACCCTCTTATGTGAACTCCCTGTTTAGATATTTTTCCTGTTTTTAAATTATACTGTGTACTTTTCCCCAGCTAAGTTGTAGTGGCTCCTTATTATGGATATAATTCCTTTGTCAGATATGTGGACTATAAAATATCTACTCCCAGTCAGTGGCTTGCTTTTTCACTTTCTTGATGTCCTTTCAGAGACAGACATTCTTATTTTTAACAAAGTTCAGTATATTGATTTGTTGTCTTACTCAAAGGTCATAAAGATACTTTTCAAGTATTTTCTTTTTTTTGAGATAGTCCTCCATAGTGTAGTGTGGCATCATAGCTCACAGCAACCTCTTGGGCTCATGCAGTTCTCTTGCCTCAGCCTCCCAGATATCTGGGACTTCAAGGGATTGTACACTACACCCAGCCATTTTTAGAGACAAGGCCTCACTCTGGCTCCGGCTGGCCTCAAACCTGGGGGCTCATCCACCTGCCTCAGCCTCCCAGGTGCTAGGATTATAGGCATGAACCACTGTGCCCAGCCTTGAGTATATTTGTTTTAACTTTTTACTTAGGTCTTTGATTTATTTCATATTAAGGGTATGAGATGTGTCAGAATTCTTCCCCCTACACACCCTTACTACAGATAATCCATTTGATTCAGGACCATTTGCTAAAAAATCTTTTACCCACTGACTTACAGCAGTTACTTGTCATAAATTTGTTGACTTTGTACATCTGTGTCTGTTTTTGAACTCCCTATTCAGTTCCATTGGTCTGATTTTCTGTCTTTGAACCAGTATCCCATGACATCCACTGTTGGTCAGGGAGTAAAATATTTTTGCAGCATAATATAACATGAGAGGCTTTCCTTCAGGGTAGGTTAAAAGTATATTAAAAAAATAATTGACAAAACTTTTTTTAGCACCTGGCCCATAGCTTCTTTAACCCTTTCCAATCCAATTTTTCTGCCACCCACATACTCCCCTGCTCTTATTTATTTTGTCCAGGAAAGAGGTTGGTGGGTTACTTGTAATTTATCTTACAGTTTTGTTTTATAAATGAAAAAAATGTCCAAAACAGGATTGGAAAAGATAATTTCTGCACTCCAGGTTAAGACCATTTCCTCTAGGGTGGCGCCTGTGGCTCAGTGAGTAGGGCGCCAGCCCCATATACTGAGGGTGGTGGGTTCAATCCTGGCTTCAGCCAAACTACAACAAAAAAATAGCCAGGCATTGTGGAGGGCGTCTGTAGTCCCAGCTTCTCGGGAGGCTGAGGCAAGAGAATTGCTTACACCCAAGAGCTGGAGGTTGCTGTGAGCTGTGATGCCCCAGCACTCTACTGAGGGTGACAAAGTGAAACTGTCTATAAAAACAGAAAAGAAAAAAAGACCATTTCCTCTGGTGCTCTATTTCTGAAATATAGAGCTAAACTCCTGGGCTTAAAATCTGTCAGTTGCTGCCTTTTTAGGCCTGTCTTAGGCCTCTGCACCAAGTTGGCCTAGACCAGGGGTCCTCAAACTTTTTAAACAGGGGGCCAATTCACTGTCCTTCAGACCATTGGAGGGCCAGACTGTGGGCCCCAGGACAAGTTGGCTGCTAAGCAGGACAGGCAGCGGTGGCAAAAACACCCAGCGGGTTGGATAAATGTCCTAGGCGGGCTGCAGTTTGAGGATGCCTGGCCTAGACTCTAGCCTTTCCCAAGCATGTAGTATTTTCCTATATCTCTCTAATCTCACCATCTCCACATGAAGGTGGGGTGGGAGATCACTGACAGATCTGAGAGCTATGGGGGTAGTGGCCATGGAAATAAGCATGAAGGAAGGAGTGAGATGAAAATAGAATTGGGAGATGACAGTAATGTGTCATCCAAATAATCACTGGGATATTTACAAAGTGGGGATGGGCTTAGGGTTAATGTGACAGCCATGTCTAGGGGTAGTTTCCTTCCACGTGTGTATTTTTATGCTTAGGCCTAAGCCCACCTATATAGCAGGTTCAGGGTCTATGTGGAGGTTACATCTCACAGTGGAGATATACTTTGTTCTCACTAGAAAAGTATGCTATCAGCCTTTAATTCTGTGTTCTCTTACACACCTTCTAAATTTCACACAAAAGCTCATCAGGCACATGAAGGACCCAGGACTGAATATATATCATTGTAGGTGCTCTTCCCAGGCCACTCATTGACAATTTTGATCATCACCAAAGTGATGAGCTCTGAGAAAGCAGGAACTTGTTGTTTCAGGAGTCAGTGACTTTTGAGGATGTGGCCGTGTACTTCACTAAGAAGGAATGGGCCAGCCTGAATCCTGATCAGAAGGCCTTGTACAAGGATGTGATGCTGGACAACTATGAGTCTGTGGCCTTCGTAGGTAAGACCTCTCTGTTGCTGGTTTCTGCCTGGGCCCTTAGAAGTTAAATGGCTCTCTTACAATTATTAGCTGACCCCACATAACAATCTCAAAAGTTGCTAGGTATGGAAAACCCTGTAGTCTGTTGACTTCCAAAGGGTGTTACTTCTTTTCCCACCATAAAAGCTACCCTCTTTTCCAACCTGCCCTAGAGATGATTCTGTGGGTACAACAGGGCTTGAACTATATCTTGGTACCCCTATGGCCTGGTATTGAACCTCCAAATTATTTTGAGAGAACTCAGCCTGTTTGTCTCATTCTGGGAGTAGTTCTTAGGAGTCATGTGTCTTTATCCCACAGTGGGAATTTTCTATCCTCTGAGAGAGGGTAAGAAATCTTATTTCCTTTTAAATAGAATTCTGTCTCCCAGGGTATTTCAGATTTCCTTATGAGCACTGTCCTGAGGCTTCTTCCCAGTCTACTCCTGTACCTCTTATGCAGCCTACCCGGGAATTTTACCTCCCCAGCTTGATCTTACAGCCATAGGTGGAAATTGACTCCTGTGGCTCTGCTTATCATCATGTGTTTTCTTCTCTTCCCGAAGCACCCCACACTTCTAAACCAGATCTGATCTTTCATCTGGAGCAAGGGAAAGAGCCATGGTACACTCATCCGCAGGGAGCCCTGAACAGGCGAGACCGTAGATCAGGCGTCACTGGTGAGTTAAGCAAAAGGGGGAGGTGGGTGGCTTCTTCATTTTTATCTCTTTCTTAGCCTTCATTTATAAAGATGAAAGGTGTGTGTTTTCTGAGCCTAGCATCATGGAATAAACTGGGATTCTTGACTGACTAGTCTGTTATTCATTGTTTTCTATCCTTTTAAACTGTAGTGTACAACACCCTCCACATACTGGGATGCTTTTATCTCTTGGGGATTTGCAGAAAATTTTTCCTAAATACTTTATTAGTTTTATGCGATCAGTTTTTCTAGTTTCTCCTAGTTTTACAAATCAGTAAATTCTGTACAGTATGACATTGTTCACTAACCAGTAGAACAAGTAGAAAAACTTATTTTTGCTTTTCATGAGAATTAATATATTAAATTTTATATTGAAATAGTCTAAGATAGCTTACAGTTTACTGTGATTTTTTTTTCTTGTAGGATACTTCTCAAAACTAAGAAGATTTACTTACTTAGCTAAACTAATATCGCGTGCAATAAAATTAAAAATTCTTCCAAATCATCGTTGCTGGAAAGACAGAACAAAGGCTTAATTCTTGACCTTCAAATATCAGCTTTTCAAGTAAGGAGTGGATTTAAGAGCCTCCTTAAATGCTGTCAAATGCACATGTTCTTTGTAAGCCGTTCAATTTCTATTGAATTAATGTTTTCATTGTATTAAAGTTACTTGTTTTCATGCACAAAGCAGGGTCTCATGTCTTTTTTAAACACATTGATGGAGGTATAATTCATAAACAATACAATTTACTGGTATAAAATATAAGTGCAGTGGTATTTGGAGTATTTACAGAGTCATACATGCATCTACTTTTAGGTTACCCTCAAAAGAAATCCATATCCATTAGCAGTCGCTCTCTATCTCCCTCCTCAACTCTGAGTTTTAGGTAATCACCTACTTACGTTCTGTTTATAGATTTGTCTCTTGTGGATATTTGATACTTATACAGTCACACAATATCCATACTTTCTGGGTCATAGGATAACTCTTTAACATTTTAAGGAGCGCCAAAATTCTTCCAAAGTGGCTGAACCATTTTAATTTTTCCTGCAAAGTTTGGGGTTCCACATTCTCACCAAAACTTACTAGCTGTGTTTTTGATTATAGCCATCTTGGTGGTGTGGAGTGGAATCTCACTGTGGTTTTGACTGTCATTTCCTTAATGACTAATCGTGTTGAGCAATGTGAAAAACACATGTTTTTCATGTGTTTATTGGGGATTTGTGTATGCTTTTTGGAGAAATGTCTGTTAAAATTCTGTACATTTTAAAATAAGACTACTTGGGGGGTCCTTTTATTTTTGTGTTTTAGGAGTTCTGACATTCTGGACACCGTATCCTTATCAGATACATGATTTGCAAATATTTTATCCTGTTCAGTGGATTGTCTTCACTTTCTCAATGTCCCTTGAGGTACAAAGTTTTCAGTTTTGATGGAGTTCATTCATATTTTCTATATACAGTTTTTTTTTTTTTGAGACAATGTCTCTCTTTTGCCCAGTGTCTGTCTCTTGCTGTGGCATCAGCCTAGCTCACAGCAACCTCAAACTCCTGGATTCAAGGGATCCTCCTTTCTCAGCATCCAGAGTAGCTGGGAGTATAGAATCCTGCCAGAATGACTGACTAATTTTTCTATTTTTAGTAGAGACAGGGGTCTTACTCTGGCTCAGGCTGGTCTCAAACTCCTGAGCCCAAGGGATCTCCCACTGTGCTTGGATTATAGGCATGAGGCACCATAGCTGGCCTATATACAAAATTATGCAAATAGAGATAGTCTTATTTCTTCCTTCCTAATTCGAATGTGTTTTATTTTTTTTTCTTGCCTAATTACTCTGGCTAGAACTTTCAGCACAATGTTGAGTAAAAGTTGCAAGAGTAGACATTCTTATTCCTGATCTTAGGGGCAAAACATTCAGTTCTTTACCATCAAGTATGATGTTAGCTGTGGTTTTCTGCAACCTTTATCAGGTTGTGGAAGTTTCTAATTTGTTGAGTTTTTATGAATAGTGTCAGTTTGTGAAATGAGGTTCTGTGACTACTAAGGTAGATACGTGGTTCCTGTCTGTTATCTTATTAATATGGTATTATTAATTTTTGTGTGTTGAACCCCACTTTTCATTGTTTGACTCATTTACAAATGGTGATGATATATAGTCCTTTTACATATTGCTTAGAGTTGGCCTGCTACTATTAATTTTCAGATTTTTGCATTTATATTCCTAAAATATTAATTTGTAGTTTTCTTGTGGTATCTTTATCTTATTTTGGTATCAGAGTATAGTGCGTTAAGTATTTCTTCTTGTTTTTCTTTTCTTGAGAGACTAGTTCTTACTTCGTCACTCAGGCCTAGAGAATGTAGTGGTGTGATCACAACTCGCTGCTGCTGCCTTGAACACCTGAGCTCAGGTGAGCCTCCCACCTTGGCCTCCTGAGTAACTGGGACTGCAGGTGTATACCTCCATGATTGGCTAATTTTAAAACATTTTATTCATAGAGATGAGATTTTGCTTCATAAGCAATCCTTGGACCTTCGCCTCTCTCTGCTTCCCAAAGTGCTGGGATTACAGTCATGAGCCACTGTGCCTGGCCCCTTTTCTTTTATTTTTGAAAGAGTTTGCAAACAATTAGTATTAAATCTTTAAATGTGGCTTGGAGCCTGTGGCACGAGTGGCTAAGGCGCCAGACACACACATCTAAGGTGGCAGATTCGAATCCAGCCTGGGCCCGCCAAGCAGCAATGACGGCTGCAATAAAAAAATAGCCTGGTGTCGTGGTGGGCGCCTGTGGTCCCAGCTACGTGGGAGGCTGAGGCAGGAGACTCGCTTGAGCCCAGGAGTTGGAGGTTGCTGTGAGCTGTGATGCCACAGCACTCTACACAGGGGACAGCTTGAGGCTCTGTCTCAAAAAATATATATATAAATCTTTAAATGTTCTATAGAATTCACAGTGAAGACCTCTGAGCCTGGGGTTTTGTTTGTAGGAAGTTTTAAAATTACTTCTTCAGTCTCATAAATGTATTCTGATTTTCTAGTCAGTTAAGGTAGTTTGTGTCTTTCCAGGAATTTGTCCATTTCATCTGAGTTGTCTGTTCCTTGGTACACTGTTACTCATACCATTCCGTCACTGTCTGTTATTCTTTAGTGATATTCCCTCGTTTCACTTCTGGTTTCACTTCTGGTTCGTCTTTCTCTTTTTTGGTCAGCCTAGATAAAGCTTTCTTAATAGTTGATCATTCCAAATAACCAAGTTTTGATTTTATTTTCTCTAGTGTTTTCCTAGCCTCTATTTTATTTTATTTTTCTCTCTAATCTTTATTATTTTCTTCTCTCCTCTTGCTTTGAGTTTAGTTTTCCCTTGTTAATTAAGTTTGCTCTTTAGAAAGGAGCACTTGTCTGTTCAACACTGTATCTCAGAAGCAGAGTACTTAAGAGCACACACTTGGGAGATGAGTGCTGGTTATTAGTTATGTGGCTTTGTTTCAGGTTTCTTATTTATAAAATGGGGACAGCAATGAAAGGTAGTATTTGTATTTGGCACCTATTATATGCTCAGTATTAGCTATTGCTTTTTCTTATGTTAATTTTAGTCTGTGTGGGTCTGTTTTCCTTATGATGGGCTCCCACTACATTCTCTGTCTCCCTGATTTGTCCTTAGTCCCTGGCACAGTCTCCATTTTCCAGAGCCACTGATGTTCTCATCTGGAAGCGGGGGGAAGAGTCCTGGGGTCTAGGTCTTCAGGGTGGTTTGTCCAGAGACGGTATGAGGTGCATCCGTGGTTGTGAGTGCTGGGATGCTGGCTTCTTGCCTCCTACCACATCCAGTCTTTATTGTGAGGGAACTTCTATTATTGTATTATATATTTTTCAGCAGTGGAGAAACTACACTGGAGAAAAGCCATATCAGTTTAAGGAGTGTATCAAAGCCTTTAGCCTTAATTCTACTTTTTGTTCAGCACTAAAGGAGAAGGCAACTCTATGTATGCAAGGGGTGTGCCAAAACATTCTGGGGCAACTCCCAGCAAATTCACACTGGAGAGAAGTCCTACTAGTGTAGAGACTATGGACAAACCTTTAGCTTCAATTCAGTTTTTTTTTTTTTTTTTTTTTTTGAGACAGTCTCACTATGTCATCCTAGGTGGAGTGCCATGGCATCACAGCTCAGAGCAACCTCAAACTCTTGGGCTTAAATACTTATCTTGCCTTGACCTCCCAAGTAGCTGGGATTACAGGTGCCCACCACAATGCCTGGCTATTTTTTGGTTTCAATTGTCATTGTTTAG